TGTTGCGCGGTCGAGGAAGTCTTTGAACAAAGGCGAAATGATTTAATGCTTGGCCCGTACACAGCAGTATAGTCTACCAATATTATTTTGCCGGTGTCCTGATCTTGTCTTCTCATTTTCTTCTACAGGTACACAGCAGTAGTCGCAGTTCTGTAGTCGGAGATCGGGCAAGTAGGGCCTTGGGGTATATGACAATGAACCAGTTCATATGTGACAACTATGTTGTCCGGTTAAACTCCGAATTACCGTTGCTGCAGAGTGTGTATGGTGTGTGTGCTGCTCGCTTGCCGCGCTGCAACCAGGTGTCAGAATGGCATCTCAGATCTCAGATCCTGGTGCGTGATTCCATGACCCATGCCCCCCCCTATTGGCCACTCGATCCTCGCACGTAGTCCCCACTGGCGAGAGTGGATGTTTGATGTCCAGACCAGAGACCAGAGACGCACGTCCAGACACTGACTGCTGACACCAGGGACTCTAGGTTAGCGAGACACGGCCAGAAGATGGGCTGCTGTGAAAGCCTAATGCGGGCAGTACTTGGCGGGTCTGGTGGCGGTGGCAACGCAGAGGTAGAGCTGGGCGGAGCTTCCAAGAACTCGCCCACCCTGAGCGAGACCCTGAAGGGAGCGGAGATCATCCTGCAGCAATCGTCGGGGAGACCGGCGACGCTCTCGGGCAGCGGTCTTGCACTAGGCTGCGCTCCCGTGGAGCAGGTGCGTCGGCATGGTGCAAGCAGAGATAAGGAGTGTCTGTTGCGAGACTGCTGGTTGTGGCCCCCGTGGTGTTGTTTGTGGGGGCGAAGAAAGTGGGCATTTTGCGGCCCAACTTTGGTTTGTTCTTCGAACGGAGAAGGAAGACACAGCTTTGGACGACTGCATACATCAAGCGAGCAGGTTCATGAACGCAAGCTGCTGTCCATGTGCTCTGGAGAGCAGCCTTCTTGACCCTCACCAGTAGTTGAAGCCTGGCATCGTTCCTTTCCGCTGCCCTTTGAGAACGCGAACATGCCTCTCTAACTCCAAGTGTTTCATGTTCCAAATTTGAATTTCCACCTAGAAAAACGCTGCCTGCGCGCCGCCCCACCTACTGCACCTGCGGTTGACGGCACGTACCGCTTGTAGTACTTTGACAATAAAAGCATTTTCCTTCCGTGATCATATCAAAGCATCTCTGCCGCAGTATGCAGCAGTGACACCATTTTAAATTGTGTGTGTCTCAATCTGTCGGTTGTCTCCAAGCATACTATGCAACTGCTGTGTTCTACACAAGGTTTCGCGATGGGGGCGTGCCCGTTGTTTCGGGATCATACTGCTGTGTGCATGTACACGGAGTCTCCCACAACGCAGCTCCTGCGCTTGTCACCCTACAGAGGGTCACTCACGCACAGGGCGAATCGCCTTGGAATGTTTCCTTCCTTCTCCCCTACCAGACGGAATCACCAATTCAAGTTGTTTCGTACTCTTGTTGGAAAAAGTAGGAGTGCCGGTCGCCCGGTACATGCCTCTAGGTGCCGGCGTCTTAGGCGGGCGCGTAACGGCACTTGCCCTAGCTTGTAGGTAGTTGCCGTGTCACGCTCAGCCTGGCAGGATGCTTGTTAAGTTTTCTCCCATGTCGGTGCCATAATCCGTATGCGCGATCTCACTTCCTGAGCTGCTCGCTGGTGTGTGGTCAATGGCCCTCTGCCGAAAAATTTGCTGCATCTGTAGTGCGACATGATCGTCGCCCGGCAGTTTATCTTCCGCATCGCAAGGTCGTTCCTTCTAAACTGAGAACAACACCGTCCAGTTTCACACAGAAGTCCTCCTCGATCATCAAACCTTAACCTCGACAGTGATCATGACAAGGTCCCAGGGCGGGAAGCTGAGGAGCGTATGACGCCACCTGCACCTCTCCCGGCTCTCAAACGACGTATTATCCCTTCTACCACCCGTTTTTGCACCCCCCCCCCCCCCCCCCCCCCCCCCCCCCCCCCCCCCCCCCCCCCCCCCCCCCCCCCCCCCCCCCCCCCC